AGAGACGGGGGACGTCTTTGTGATTCCCTGACCTGGCTCCATTCTTTTCTTCAATCCGAGGTGCTGGCTTGGGCCCCTCTTTGGGGGACATGGATAGGAAGAAGAGACAGGAAGGTGAGGAAAGAAATTTCTTGATAGGATGGCTGTAATCTGACTTAAGTGTCCTCTGGATCAGGAGAATAAAAATTGCCATCTTGACCTCATGGAGCACTTTGTCAGATTTCTCAGAAATCCCTGACTGTCCTATGGCTGCTATCACCTAGATGCACATTTGCCTCTCTTCCAGTCTTCTGCTTACATCCCCTGGTGCAGCCTTCGAACTTCTGGAGGTCAGCTACTCTCGAGGCCTTCTTTGCTTCTCTAGTGTTCTTCCAGGGTGAGATTCCTTTCATGGTATCCTATTTTGTTTGGGAAAATATGCACCCCTGCCTACTGTTCGGGGACGTGCTCCTCTTCCCCAGTGTGGCCCTGCCTTTCTTCTCTGTGCCCATTCAGAGCTGCTAGCTAATCATGGGCCCTAATGTAGCCTCGTGAGCCTGAGTCAGGTTCCAGGCTTCTTTGTCCTAAACTCCAGGACATACAGGCTAAGAGCACTGAGTGGTTCTCTTAAAACACTTCACTTGGGCAAAGGTGAGGGGGCAGATTCTTCTTCCCCACCCCCCCCACCCCGCCCCATTGGGAGTGGTGGCAGACGTATTGGACTCCGATAACTCTCTCTGAAGAATTCTTCACCTTGGCTCCTTCCACCTGACTTAGCTTTGAGGTTAGTGATGAACCAGAGCTGACAGAACCCACTCCACTCTGTCCCCATGTCCTTCTAGGTGGTCTAGAACCCACCTTTCAAAGTGAAGCTGATCTTGTGCTGTGATACGGTTCTTAGCCTTTGTATGCTCATCTGAAATGAAAGTACAAGGAATTCCATTTGAAAACTCTGTTTTGCACTATTCATTAAAATGCAGAGTTCAAAGAAATTCAGCGAAAATGAAGTAAACTTGATGAGGTGATGGTTTATCCACTGACATGATCCACAGAAAGCTGTAGTTCTTCACAACAGTGTGATGGGTGGAAAATAAAACATAGAGTTCTAAAAGCATTGACCAAAGGTGAGGATGCTTGAGGAAAACAAAGGGAGACCAAGAGGAAAAAGAAAAGGAAGCACTTTAGTGCAGGCAGTTTCTCTCTGTATGGGTTATTGAAAGCAACAAAGAGACAAGGCATGCAAAACACCTAATACAGTACCTGGTTCACAGTAAGTCTCAACGTGTTGCATTTTCTTTTCAGTCCCCCTAAATCTGTTTTGGAACATGGTAAGAATCCATGGTGAGAAATAGAATGATTGATTAATTAGCCAGTCTAAGGTGTGTGTGTGTGTGTGTGTGTGTGTGTGTGTGTGTGTGTGTATCAATAAGAACAAATAAACTAGGCCTAGATTTATGTATCTACTTGAGATGGATACTGATGTAAATAAACACAGCCCACCAGGATAAAGGTGTGGTGAGGGGAGGAGGGATGCAGGCAGTGAGGAGGAGCAGATATCTAGGAGGTCGGCCTGAAAGGCCCCATGTCATATCCTGTCCATTCTATCCCCAGTCCTCTGCTCTCTTCACTTGCTTTGCTTCAGCCAAATTGGCCTCCTTGCTGTTCCTCCAACAGGCCAGGGCTGCTCCTGTCTCGGGGCCTTTTCACTGTTGATCCCTATGCCTACAAAATTCTCCCCCCAAACATTCACATGGCTCATGCCTTCATCTTCTCCAATTTTTTCGTCAAGTGTCACCTTTTCAATGGGCTCTCCATGACCACCCTATTTAAAATTGCAGCTCCCACTCTCCCCCCACCACATACACACACATGCTTTTTGCCCCCTTTCCTGGGGGCAGTATTTTTCTCCATAGCACCTTTTAACTTCCTGTGTAATATATTTGTTTAGTTCCTCCCCACAAGAGAGTAAATTCAATGAAGGCGGGGTTTTTTGTCTGATTTGTCTACTGATGCAGCTCCATCACCTAGAACAGTGATAACACATGACAATCAATACGTACTGATAACTCAATAAATATTTGTTGAATGAAGGTTTCTTTTAAAATATAGAGAAAGAAGAGATTAACAAAAGAAGAGTTTGGAGAGAGCAGAGGGAAGCCTCCCTTAAAAAAAAAGGCATCTGGTTAGAGCTTGAATGCTGGGTAGTCCTTTGACAGGAAGCTGAGAGGTGGTGATGGGAGAGGGACAGAGACAGAGGCTGACAAAGGCCTTCTAAGCTGGGCGCGTGTGTGCTATGGACCAGAGTGAGCTCTTCTGTGGCTAAGCCCTGGTTTTGATGAACTATACTTCACAACGCTACCAGAATGGAATACATATAGTCAGTAGTGTCAGGCAGGCTTGGGTTCATTTCTTGCCTCTGCCACCTGCTAGCTCTATAAACTGTGCAAGTCATTTCATCTTTCTAATCCTGTTTCCTTATCTTTAAAATGGGAGTAATAGTGTCTAGTTCATATGGTTACTATGAGTATCAAATATGAAAATGCATAAAGAGCAGCTGTGTAGTTAAGACATACAAGGTTTAGTCCAAGAAGGAATGCCATGATCAAAAGAAGAGTCCAGCAGGCAAAATTATTCTCACAATCAATCAAGACCTGTATTTGTGGAAGGGAGAAACAATGACCAAATCAATATTTCTTTAAAAAAAAAAAAAAAAGTTACCACGTTATCCTTTATCCTCCACTTGTCCCACATCACAACTTCTCCCTATCTGTATTATTTGGCACATGGTATATCCTTAAAATCTAAATTGTTTGTAAAATATTTCAGTATTTCCCCAAAGCTAACCAACCATGGGACCGCCAGCATTTCCTGCCTTTCCCTTCTCCTACAGATGGATGGTCAGTCCCTCACCTCCAACTTACTAATTCCATCAGCCTTCAGGCCTGGCTGATATGTCACATCCTCCACAAAGCTGTCCCTGAGTTCCCATGTCCTAATTACGTTCCGCTCCTCTGGAATCCCACAGCACACTGAATTTCTCTATCATCTCATTTATTACCTTGCAATGCCATTATGTTTTTACAGTTTGTAAGGGAAGGGAAACAAACTGCAGTAACAGTTCTCTTGTTCATTTTTCTTTAGTATAAGTTCATTTAACCCTAAAGAAAGGACCAGTGTGGGGCCAAGCCCGTGGCTGGGTGCACTCTTCCACACAGTCATTCAAGAACCCAGGCTGTTGGCAGCCGTGTCATTTTTAAGTTTTGACTTCTCAGCCACCCTGCATGATGATACCTGCATAGTACATGAGGAAGGATCATGGAGGATCATTTGCGGGACATCTTACAAGCCAGGTTTGAAATGACAGCCATCAGTTCCTCTCACATTCCAGTGATTAGGACTCAGCACATGGCCAGACCCAACTGCACAGGAGGCTAGGAAAGTTCATTTATCTTGCCAGAAAGAAGAGGAGTGGGTTTGGTGACCAGCCAGTAGCCTGCCACACTGACCTTTATTCTCACTGAGCTCTTAACTCCATGAGGACAGGGGAGACGTTTCTCTTGCTCTTTACTTCATCCCCAATTCTAGTACGCAATAGGCCTCAGTAAGTATTTGTTGGATGAATAAAGCTGTGCATATCACCGTACATATCCTGTCTTTAAAAATTTGTTCTTCCCATCCTGATGCTGGCTGCCCATTTAAATTCCTCATGCAACATCTTCTGAGGCATCCCCTAAGGCTTCTCCACCATCTGACTGTCTTCATGGAAACACAGTGTGTCGATCATCTGGATGTGAACTACTTGTAGATGCATAAACCATAATATAAATTTATTTACTTACCATACATATTTTTTCAGAGATTTGATTACCCATATTCTCTATTTAAGGCACATCCTTTCCCAGAACTGAGGTACGTGGGAAGCAGGGATGCCATTCACTACTAACTGCAGCTTGAGGATGAATGCATGTGCTGCCCGTTACACTGTAAGGCTATTGTGAGGATACTGTACACATTCTACAGCATATTTTGTATGCAGACCTGAGAAAATTTCAATTTAATTGCAATAAAAAGAATACTGTGCCTCCTGAAATTTGACTGCCTTTATCTTACGATGTCCATCAATCGCATAACATATACTCTTTACTACTTAGCATTTGCTACTAGAAAGTTCAGACCAAATGTGGGGCTCACATCTACTAAGAGTACAGGACATCAAGAAATGGATTTTGTGAACTATCCCCAGTCAGGTTTCAATAGGACTCAACATATTTTTTCTAACTATATTTTCCTTGCCCTTATTTTCCCTTTCTGTTCACTGCTTTGTATCTTTTTATATTGCATATTTATTAAGCCACCTTAAATACGGTTTGGAACAAAGGAGAAATACATACCAATTAAATATATTAAAAATGTGTGTTTCCAAGAGATATAAACATGATTTCAGTTGAGTGTGGTTGGGTATCTTTTTTCTTTTTTAATCTACCTTGCTTCATCCTTAGAGATATTTTCAAATGAATATAAACTAGTCTTTCATTTTGTGGGGAAGAGGGTAGGAAGAGAATGAGATGCATTATAAAGATGGAGATAACTTTGCAAGCTAAGAATTGAAGTAAATATGAAACCATATTTGATTTGTGAAAATACTGTATACTGTTCTGAAAATTGACAAAAGTTCCATTAAGCAGTGACCTTGATTCGTTGTTTAATGCTATATCTCCAGCATGTTCAGTAGAGCACAGAGTAGACACAGAAACAATGTATTTTGAAGGTGTGAGTATAATACATTCAAAGTTAGGATAACTGGGTTAATATCAAAGAAAATAATGTTGAATATTGATTATGTAACCACATGCATATATCCTTGGATTCAGTTTAATCATTTATAAAATGAGGCTATTAGACTATGTAGCCACCAAGATTCTTTTCAACTCTGATATCCCACGCTCCTATTAAATCTAGTGGCATAGTTAAACATGTAATATAAATACTTATAATGATTTGGGAATTTGTTCTCAAAATAGCATCTCCAGCTACATCTTCAATGGCTCTTGTAGATGTGAGTGCGTTGAGGCCAAATGCTACCTCTTCGAGTAAGTACAGCAAGGCTCTCTCCCTATGACACAAAAGACAACACTCTCACAAGTTTTATTACAGCCTCTATAATGTGGTTTGGGCAAAAGGCTGTATTTTTCATTCAGTGTTAATATTTTGGTTTTGAGTTACTCTGTGGTGACTATACACTAATATGACAATCCCTGTAATCTTAAAAGTAAGGGCTGGTGATTTGTTATTATATCGTACCTTTTATTTGTCAAGGGATTTTAAGGTAATATTAAAGTAATTTTCACAATACCTCCCAGTGATCTGAGTTGGTGACAAGAACATAAAAAGCAAATCATTGACAAGTTGGCATTAAACATAAACTACAGAGCTTTTGCTTAATATGCCAGCTCGTGTTTCTGCATAAGAAGCACATTTTCAATTTCAGATTTCCCTGAAGTCCCATAGATTAAAAATTCAGTGCATCAAAGCAAAGTTAAATTACAGCTTTTAAAAAAAGTTGGATTCCGAAAATAATTTTGTCTTTCAGTCAGCAATTCCACTGTGACTACCCAAGGCTTCAACTACTCCTGGACTTCCAGTGGGATAGATACCAAAAAATGTTAAGTATAACCATGGATCCCTTAGAGTCCTCCAGCCCTCATTCATTCATCCAACACAAACATTGAACAACTACAATGTGCTTTGTTCATAATCATGTTCACAAATATTTACAAAGCATCACCATGTTTAAAGCATTGTTGTAGGTGCTGGGAATACATTTGTGAACAAAACAGATCTGAGTTCCAAATTCTGGTGAAAAAGAGACAGACAAATGGCGATAAGTGATATGGAGAAAACAAAACAGTGAAGGGGGACGGTAAGAATCAAGGGTGTGGATGGTTTGCCATTTTTAATGGTGGCCTTTAAAGGTCATACTGAGGAAGGTGATATCTGAGCAAAGATGATAATCAATGAAGCTGAAAGAACAAACCGTGAGCATATCAGTGAAGGGGGACGGTAAGAATCAAGGGTGTGGATGGTTTGCCATTTTTAATGGTGGCCTTGAAAGGTCATACTGAGGAAGGTGATATCTGAGCAAAGATGATAATCAATGAAGCTGAAAGAACAAACCGTGAGCATATCGGGGAGAGAGAACAAACACACCAGAATATGCATATCTCCAATAATAATGCAAAGAGGGAGCCCAATGTGAGGTGCAGAAATGGTTTCATTGTTACTTTTAATCTGGCCAGCCAACAACAGGGTCTGCAGGTGCTGCTTTAGCAGGTATTGACAGGGTCCAAAGAGGAAATATACTGCCTCTTAGTGGTATAAGACCAAGACCGGGGTGGTGAGGAAGAAGCCAGGAAGGGGGCTGGAGCAGAGGAGGGAGCACACTGGCTGCCACAGGTGCAGAACTCAGAGTTTAACTCCATGCCTTTGGCCACAAGGAGTAAATGTGTATGTCTTACTGGAAAGCATTGAAGTCAAACGTTTAAAACCTTTCAACTCTTTTATACCTACTGGCTCAGTCATCTCACTGCAGGGAACTTGTCCTTAGGAAATAAAGACGGAAAAGGAACACGTATAATACTGCTTTTTTAGCATTATTTATTTTATCTCTTTGATGGACCTCAGGTTCACAGATTTGCATTAATCATAATCTTTAATTCATGACACACTTTCATCATTAGTTGGAGCATGACCCTCTACAATTTAACATGTTTCTTTTAATCAATATGCTAATAATATAGTAGACACCTGTGATCTCAGTGCCCAAATACTAGAACTGAAAAGCAGTATTCAGAAGGGAGAGCATAGAAAGAGATCCACAAATCAATGGAACTTAGATGTCAATCAAAAACACCATGGCAGATCTCTGTGAAAAGAAGGGACTGTTTAGCAAATGGGTCTAGAAATATTAATTATATATAAGAAAAAAGCATTAAAAGGCACCCTACATTACACAAAAATAAACTCCTTATAGTTTAAGATCTCTATGCCAAAAGCAAAACATTAAACATGTAATAAAACAAAACTCTATATCGAGTATATAAAGAATGCCTGTAAATCAATAACAAAAAAGACCAAAAAAACATGTAATAAAACAAAACTCTATATCGAGTATATAAAGAATGCCTGTAAATCAATAACAAGAAAGACCAAAAAAAAAATAGAAAATGAACAAAAATGCACATCCCAAAACATGATCTAGCTACATGAAACACAAGTAGCTAGAAACATCTAAAGATTGCTAGCCTTCCTAGTAATCAGGAAATATAACTGAAGACTAGCATCAGAAAATCGTTTTACACATAATCAATTGGCAAAATAACAAGTCTGGTATTACTGAGTGTTGTTTAGGATTTACCCAACATCCTACAACATTATCTCTTATGTGTTTCCAGTGAGGATATAAATTGATACCATCACTTTCTACCACTTCAGCATTATGTTTTAAAGCTGATATAGGAGACATGTACACAAATGTTGGGGGGTAACACTGTTCATACAGCAAAAACTGTAAAGAATCTAAATGGCCATAGACAGGAGAACAGATTAATAAATTGCAGTACACTCATATAATAAAATATTATACAGCAATTAAAAATGGGTGAACTATAGCTATATACAACAGCAAGAATGAATCTTAAAACATTGTGTTGAGTCAAAAAAGTAAATACTAGTTGACAATATGTGGCATGATATTTTTTATTTTTATTTTTTAAATAATTTTATTTATTGAATCAAAATCGATTATACATATTTTGGGGGTTGAACATTGAGATATGCTGATCAAATCAATATTACTAGCATATATATTGTTACAAATTGTAGTTATTCTTTATGCCCCTTGTCCAATCTCTCCCTTCCCCATTCCCTCCCCCTCCCCTCTCTAATTACCCTAGATTTCTTCTCTCTCTCTGAAAGAATAAAGGTTACTCTGTCAATTTGTTGCCTAGATGATCTGTCCAATGCTGAGAGGTGTGATCAGGTCCCCCAATATTATCATAGAGCAGATGCTTCTGTCACTCTGAAATGGGCTTTGTGGATAGAGACATCCTCTTCTTTTCTTTGTCTCTGCTGGTGACTCTCTTTGTGTCAATGCACTCCAATGATTGGTGGGCCATCTGCGTGGTGGTTGTGGCATCCAGCCACTTTCGTGGCAGCCATGGTTATTGTGGTGGCTGTGGTGGGCCACCCACGTGGAAGTGGTGTTTTTGGCATGCTCCTTTGTGCTGCCAGTGTGCCTGGCTGTGGGGTGTGTCTGGTCTCCTTTTCCATGCCTCTGGACCCTGGGCAGGCCTGAGGCACTGGTGCCGTGTGCCTGGTTGTGAGAGGAGGGTCCAGTCCCCTTCTCCATGCCTCAGGTCCCCAGGCTGGACCTGAAGTGCTGGTACAGCGTGCCTGGTTGTGGGAGGGCAGTCCAGTCCCCCTCTCTATGCCCTGGGTCCCTGGGCAGGCCCCAAGGAGCTGGCACGGCATGCCTGGCTGTGGGAGGAGGGTCCGGTCCCCCTCTCCATGCCTCGGGTCCCTGGGCATGCCCCAAGGCATTGGCATGGTGTGCCTGGTTGAGGGAAGGTGGTCCAGTCCCCTTCTCCATGCCCAGGTCCCCAGGCAGGCCCTGAGGCACTGGCACACTGTGCCTGTTTGTGGGAGGAGGATCCAGTCCCCTTCTCCATGCCTTGGGATCCCAGGCAGGCCCTGAGGCACTAGCACAGTGTGCATGGTTGTAGAAGGGTGGTCCGGTCCCATTCTCTATGCCCCATGTCCCAGGCAGGCCCTGAGATGCTGGCACAGTGTGCCTGGTTGTAGGAGGGTGGTCCGGTCCCCCTCTCCATGCTCTGGGTCCCCAGGTGGGCCCTGAGGCACTGGCATGGTGTGCCTGGTTGTGGGAGGGTGGCCCAGTCCCCCTCTCCATGCCCTGGGTCCTGGGGTGGGCCCCAAGGCACTAGCATGGTGTGCCCGGTTGAGGGAGGATGGTCTGATCCCCTTCTCCATGCCCTGGATCCCTGGGTAGGTCCTGAGGCGCTGGCACAGCATGCCTGGTTGTGGGAGGAGGGTCCAGTCCCTAGATCCATACCTCAGGTCCCTGGGCAGGCCCTGAGGTGCTGGCATGGTGTGCCTGTTTGTGAGAGAGAGGTCCGGTTCCCTTCTCCATGCCTCAGGTCCCCGGGTGGGCCCTGAGGTGCTGGTGCAGTGCACCTGGTTGTGGGACAGAGGTCCGGCCCCCTCTCCATGCTTCGGGTCCTTGGGTGGGCCCCAAGGCGGTGGCATGCTGTGCCTGGTTGTGGGAGGAGGGTCCGGTCCCCAGCTCCACATCTCAGGTCCCCAGGCAGGCCCCGAGGTGCTGGCATGGTGTGCCTGGTTGTGAGAGAGAGGTCCAGTCCTCTTCTCCATGTCTCAGGTCCCTGGGGCAGGCCCCAAGGCGCTGGCGCAGTTTGCCTGGAACTGGGTGTGGGGTCCAATCCCCAGCTCCAAGCCTCCAGTTCCCAGGCAGGCCCCAAGGTGCTGGTGGTGTGCCTGGGCCAGAACTAATTTTTTGTCCTTTGCTTACTTCTAACACTGGGGAACTTCCTGTGAGAACCAGTACTTGAGCTGTGTGATTGAGCTAAATTGCTGCTTTGCTGCTGTTTCCCTCGGGAAGGCTTTTTGTGCAGCTGAGGGTTTAAAGGTTGATCTTATAGGTACTTCCAGCTCTCCAGAGACCTGGGGGATCTGTGTTCTGTGGAAACTCCAATCTGGGTCTGAATTTTTTCATCAAACTGCACCCCATGCAATTCTGCATTCCTGACCATTCTCCTTTGAGTGGTCCTGCACTGATTGGAGGGCAGGTTGGCTGTCCTTGCTATGTCCCAGTGTTCCCCCGGTGGGCCCGTCTCCCCTGCCGCTTGTGCTCCAAACACTTCCCATGGGACAGGCACTAATGATGACTCACCAGCCTCTGTATGGCTCCTTTTTTCAGCTGTTCTGGCTCCTCGCTCCTGCGTGGGTCCACAGGAACCCTGTTAGTGGTCTTGCTGTCCTGGGGGCCGCCAAAGCCCTCTTCTCTCCTGCCACCTCCAAGTAACTCCATCTGAAGGGCACAGTTGCGGCTTCTGCTGGCTCCTGCTCCATGTGCTCATCGGCTGGAGCCCTAAAGCAGCCATGCCCCAAAATGCTCAGAGCAGCTTTTTCTTTCTCTCATCGTAGTTTCTCCTGCCTTCATGAACTCTGTAGGTCTCTCCTACTCTTTCCCTGAGCTCCAGGGGCCCCAGCTTACCTGATGTTACATTTTTATAGTTGTAAATTGGTTGATTTGTGGGAGAGAGTGACGCTGGGGACCGTCTATTCTGCCATCTTGACTGGAACTCCGCACGATATTTTTAAAATAAAATTTAAAAGCAAGTATAACACCACATGGCTTAAACATGATGTGATAAATAGAATG